AAGAAGAAGGAGAAGAAAAAGGAGAGGAAGAAGGGAGGAGGGGAGAGCAATACTTACCTGACCACACATCCGCCGGTAGCATTGTGAGGTCGGGCTGAGATACCGCTCGACTTGTTGGATTACGAGCTTGTGCCTGTCATCGCCCCAATACCATGAGCTCGATATGCTTCACATCATGTCGGATCGCGTTGCGGGCCGGGGGTGCATCTAGCTATGTCGAACGACTACAGAGAGAAGAGAGAGACAAGTTTCCAATCCCGCGGCCTTCTACTTGGTACTTTCGGCGGTAAGACGAGCAAATCTAATGAATCTACCGCTAGAACATGAAAATATACATACTTTAACCCCATGGCTGCCTCACGCTACTTCTACCGATAGGATGATCAGAACGGATAAACTTACCACTAAAACGTGAAAATATACACCACCACAATCGTTTGGTCGTGTGTGTGTGTGTGTGAGTTTGTGTGAGTGTGTGTATGCATGTGTGTGTGTGTGCTCCTACTGAGGCGACTACACACTACCACCAACGATATCACGAGCAAAATCGAATGAATCTACCGCTAGAGCATGAAGATATGCATTGCCACGCTCGGTTGTTTGTGTGTGTGTGTGTGTCTGGGAGAGAGAGAGAGGAAGTGAGTATGTGTGTGTGAGAGTGAGAGAGTGGGAAGGAGAGGAGGTGTATGGCAGTCCTTGGGTGCATGCGGCATCTGTGAGTGAGGGATTTGAGGTTGTCAGTGATACGAGAGACATACCTGGTGCCTGAGGCGATCGGCATCTGCCGAGATCTACTCGTACTTCAGGAAGCTGTTGACATCGCATGTGGCATGGTAGATAGGTTAAGTAGGGTCTGCCATCTGTAGTCTGGGCGCCGCGCGCCATATAGGATATCAACATTGGTTCTTCATTGATGATGATGATGATGATGAGACTTTACCAGCATTGTCAATTATGAGTTCTTAGTGTCTTCTTATTTGGTGAGAATTCGTGATGGAATTCTGTTGTTGGGTTGAGATAACGACAATCTGGTCTTGTGTATGTGATGTTGTTTGGTTGCTAAAATTCGTTATTGCTCATCTTCCTTGCATTATCATTGATTGACTAGTATTATCGTTGTTATTATTACTACCGGTGTTTTCGTTGTAAGTGAAATTGTTTTCATGTTCACTTTTTTCTTAACTGTAAAATGACAGAATGAAATGAGGAAATTATAGACGAAATAATGACAAAGCAAAATAACGACAAAGCAAAATAACAACAAATCGAAATAACGACAAAGCAAAATAAGGACGAAACAATGTTCATAGCAATGCAAAGTTGAAGGAACGACAAAACAATGAGGAAAAATTAATGTGACAGTCATGCTCTTGTGTTGCCTGTGCTCAAAATATAATACAATGTCAAGTTTTTACCTCGAATGTTTACACTCATTAAACATGTCAATCTCATCAACAAAATATTAACTACGGACTGTAGCTTTAGTCGCACCTCATTAACTTTCGTATCTAATCATGGACAAAATGTCAAATGTTATTCTAAGCCTCATATCAGAAATATTGGCTTGTGATAAAGCTAATGGAGGGAAGTGACCTCTTGCAAGCAAAGATGCAAAACCTAACATAAAAACACCACAACTACAAGCATCCTYTTGAGCAGGAATCCCATCTACTGATGTATAAAAGGAGGATGTAGGCCCGTCCACATGATATCTTTCGCGAAGATTATGTCGATGAAACTTTGCTTCGAAAAAATATTCCAAACGTTCAAGGACTAAAACATAGTCAGCACGAGGGAGAGTCTATGCGGTGGAATTTTTACAGTTCGGACCGTCTATGCTGACATAAGCTAACGCCCAGTGATTTTCAAAATGAAGAGGGATAATCATTAAGTCATAATCAAAAAGATTTGTGTCCTTCACCCATTTCATCCCTTCGGAATATGCGGTTTCAAACCTCAAAGGACCTGACAATCGAGTGAAGAAAAATGAATTGAAAATGTACACAAAAGGAACTCTATCTCTTGTCACTTCTGTACATGCCGAATCAACCTTGATATGATCATTGGTGATCTGAACGGCTAGCAGGTACAAATTGACGACTTCGTCATTTAGCCATTTTCCATCGTCGACGACGACCATGATGTCTTCCTTTCCCGCCTTCCAGCTCCCCTTGTAATCGACAATGTCGTATGCTTCATTGTCTTCGCTGCTGCCTGTAAGCATGTCAAGATACTCCTTTTCTTCTACGGTGAGGCGTTTTGTTCAGGGTTGTCAGGCGGGGGCCCCTGGGGGCAAAGCCGGGGTAGGGGTTCGACCCCCGGACCCCCGCCGCCGGGGTGCCCCACCCCCGCCC